CTTAGGTTTCACCTTTGTACCAAAACTCCTCGATAGTTCAAACCACCTTGCCTAAGATTCTAACAGTGGGCTGCCTCATGTACCTGATGACCTGCACTCGTCCTGACCTTGTGTACCCTCTTGGCCTTCTAGCACGCTACGTGGCTCCTGGTAGGCACCGAAAGGTGCACATGGATGCTGCAAAGAGGGTACTGCGCTACTTGTGCAATACATCGGGCATGGGGCTCATGCTTGGAGGGCGGAGCTCAGTTGTCCTCACTGGGCACTCAGACGCTTCTTGGGTTGACGATCTGGCTATGCAACGGTCGTCACAGGGTTACACGTTCAGCCTTGGCTCTGGCTCTGTTTCCTGGCGGTCTACTCGTTCGTCTTCTGTTCTCAGCTCCAGTTTTGAGGCTGAGATCTACGCCACAGCCATGGCTGCACAGGAGCTACGCTGGCTTACCTACCTGCTGACCAACTTGGGAGAGAGGCCTCGTTCTCCTCCAGTTCTGTACGTCGACAACAAGGCTGCCATTGCGTTGTGTCAGGACCACAGACTGGAGCACAGAACAAAGCACATCGCTCTGCGTTACTTCCTTGCTCGAGAGTTGCAGCAGCGTGGTCAGCTTCGTGTCGCTCACGTGCCCACCCGGGCCAACACTGCTGATCTGTTCACCAAGGCCCTTCCGGCTGGTCGCTTCTGCACTTCTCTAGGCCTGGTGCCTACGTTTCCTCACTTGCTGTAGACTTTGGTTGTACTGTGATCTATATATGTATACCTGCACGTTTACTCTTGCTAGGTAGTGATCACTGTACTGTTCTTGTTGCATATATACCTCTGCATGTGAACTGGCCTTGTGGCCCCTTTGCTTGTGCTCGAGTGTGTGGTGACGTTGTGATCCACCCGAGCTTGCTTTGCTTTTGTTGACTGGTCTTGTGACCCCTTGTTCTCCCCCACTTTGCCTATGGGGGTGTGTCAAACTATATACCGTATGTGTTAGTTCTGTGTAGGCTATCATGGGGTAGCCCATATGGGGTACAACCCGAAGTTAGGGTTAGTACTTGTACCCACATTTCATTCAATGCAACCATTCCTGCTTGCTATCTTGACCAGGGCTGATGTTTCATTTTAAGCCTCACTGATTCCGGGGAAAATTTCCCCCTTGTATTATGGGTGCATATTTTCCACAGGTAGGCTTCTCTGATTGCTCAGTGTTGAAAAGTAGTTAACTCTGATTGCTCAGGGTCGAGAACTGAACATCAATGTAGTAACGCGCAGTGTGATTAACGGGGAAAAATGTTTCACCCTGCATGATTCCAACACAACGCGGCATCATTTCGTGCACACCTCGTGCGCGTTACTTTCTAACCCTTTACTTTGTGAAATTAGTATTTCTCCACACGTTTTAGCGCGGGGAAGAAACGAGCAATTTCGGTCCACCAAACAGTTCGGTACCATAGATGTGCCAAGATTTCCTATTCGCTGATTACCCGCGATTCGCCAACTTCATTGTGCGAAACGCAAAAAATGTGTTGGTAACTTCATGCACACGTACCGTAATTGCGACAATCCATCCGACATCTTCGAATTCTGTGAAACTAACATACGTAGAGTGTATTCACCTGTCAGACATGTTGCCGCGCGCTGCTTACGCTCTGGCTGTACTACGACCAATCCGAAGGCGGGGTTATCGGAAGGAAATTTCCGAGAAACTTCCTTCCGATAAGGTCAAATTCAGAGTCCACAGAACGCGTACTCTACATTGACAGAGGCAGTAAGAACACTACTCTGAGCCTAGATACAATATTTCAGGGTTCGCTAAAGGACTATTCTGAATGGATCAGTGTTCACAAGTCAGAAATTCTGAAATTGCAAGGACCACCAGGTGAGAAGCCTGTAATCACCCTGAAATCAGGGTAATTACCTTGATAAAATCAGCCCTGATCTTGACAGTATTGCATGAGTTGTGTGGTGAAATCAGTTGATGGATCGATGGTGGTGCGGGTTGAAGGTAGATCAATGCCCTCAAAAAGAGCAGCAAAACAATGGACAGCAGCAGCAGTGTTACGAGCCTTAGCCTCCAGAGAGTGGCCTGCCAGTGCCAAGTTGCTTATGTGAGTTTTAGTTCATGGTGGTATTCCAAGGGTTTAGGAATGGAAATGGGATTATCTTGTATGATGAGAGATATACTGTGGCAAACAAAACCAATCTTACCGTATCACCCCGGATATAAGCGCAGGCCTATGTTAAGCGCATGCGCTTATATCTGGAGCAATGCGCTTATGGTCGATCCTCGATTATAAGCGCACCCCCTGTAAAAACTTGACATTTAGAAAGCTTGCTTTCTTATACTGATCATTTGGCATCGTTCTCATTGCAACTGGAGAATTACAACATGCACCTCGAGCTAGACAATATAGATGCTAGTACATTACCTGATTCCACCTACCATAGCATTGTACTAGCTATCCTGCATTATGCGTGCGTACTACCAATCATATGGCTAACTGTCTGTCCTCCTGTTCCAGCGGCGACGCAGATGTCCTCGGTGTCGGGGTGGGAGGTGGGAGAGTTGCATGAGCCGTTGGAAAATGAGAGACGTGGGTGGAGGGAAATGAGCTCCAACCCACGTTTTGTAGTTGGAGAAGGGCGTTTAGCGCGCTTCGACGATGCCAAATCTGCGTTACAGGCAGCTGCGCTTTCGAAATACGTAATTTTGAAAAACACTTCGTGTGTTTAAAATTTATCATTTATTATAAGCGCATCAATAATTCTACTATTAAATCCTGATTAAAACGGTAACGATTTCCCTTTTTGCAGCGAGTCCAGATCCGTTTTTACTTTGTTTGACTCACTTGAGGGCGAGCGATTCGCAGGAGAAGCGAAACGGCGCGAAGCTGACTGACTGACAGCACATCGTTGGGAGGGGGGGGGGGGGAGGGAAGAGGGGCGCTGGAAACGACTGTCATCAGGGCCTCAGAAGTCAGCGAAAAAAAGGCTGATTTGGGTAAAAAAAGGCTGAGATTTCAGACCTTTTTTAGAATTGTGGCTGATTATTCAGCATTTTTCTGTGAAAAAACAGGAAAATTTATGTGATTTGTAGTGTAAACTGGCACATAATGGCAGATTTTTCTGATTTTTAGCATAATTTTTTGTACCAACTCTGATTGGTTCAGCCTAGCTCAAAACCAATCTGAGGCCCTGACTGTCATGTGCGTTGTGCGAGCGAAAAAGGGGCGGGCGGAGGGGCTCGAGAACGACTGTGCCTCTGCGATTCGAGCAAGCGACTCCGTGCGACTGGCTCGTACATTGGTTTGGGGCGAGCTTGACACATCCCTCTGTGAAGTGACGTGTCCTCGCCCCTGTGTGGCGCCAGAAATCGCCCTCGCGCGATTCTCTGATTTGGGACGCTCTAATGTTTCGATTCGATTGAAATTGCAAGACTGAGATGCACAATTTGGTAAGTTTAAAACATATTTCTGTTATTGTCATTATATAAGCGCACCCCCCTAAACATCACTGTTTTATTATAAGCGCACCTGCTCTTATATCCCGGGTGATACGGTAGTGTATAATGGTGAATGCTGAACTGATATGATTCTCCATGCAAACATGTAAATAAATCTATAAGGCAGGCAGTCTATAAAAACATGAACAGAATAGGTATCGGTAGGGTAGCTCTGGCCAGCAACGACCAAAAGGTGATATGGTACAATGAAAACCACAATCAGTAAGAAGCGAAAATTCAGACAGGGAAGACCCTGATCATGCAGTTTGGATTAAAGGCCGCGTGTGCAGACTGCTGCACGGCACCACCGCAAACGCAGGGCGTGCCTTTCTCCCTCCCAGAGCCCTGCCCTGATCATGCAGTTTGGATTAAACCTGGATTAAGCTCCGCGTGTGCAAGCTGCGGCTAGGCACCACCACAAATGCAGGGCGTGCCTTTCTCCCTCCTCCTTCTCCTTGGCCTTCACCACTCGGTGGAACTTTCGACTCGCTCTGAAGTTCAGCTGTTGCAAAACGGCTGCGAACGTGGTTGTGACTCGAGATCTTCACAGGGTGATTGGATGAAGAAAGATTCTGAGAAGGCCTGGAAGGATGATCCGTTCTGATGGTTCGAGCAGTGAGAGGAGAAGCACGGGAAGCCAGTGAAAGTGCAGCAGCAGCTACAGCAGCACCAGCAGCCGTTGCAGCAGGAGGAGCAGAAGCACGATCCGCAGCAGCAGCAGCAGCAGCAGCAGCAGCAGCAGCAGCAGCAGCAGCACCAGCTGGGGCTGTTATTCCCTGTCTAGCCTCAGCAGCTTCACCAGTGATTTTATCAAAGACATTTTTTGCCGGCCTGCCTATTGCACCTGCATCCGCAGCAGCACTTGTGTCAACAGCAGCAGGGATGTCAGCAGCACAGTTATCAACAGGAAGCATGTCAGGAAAAGTGCCTGCATGCCACGATGCCCTTCGCGAAATGGGCTGGTAAACGCCTCCTCCCGGTGGTGATTTAGGCCCCCCTCCAGATGTTGCACTGGCAGCGGCAGGTAAACTATCCGGGTGAAGCTTCCAGGTCACCCGCTTACCGGGTCGTGGAGAAACCCCACTAGTACTGGCTGATTTCAAGATGGAGGGGCGCGCAGGTGATTCTACGCTGGAGCCGATTTTAGGAGAAAAGGAGGCGGTGGTGCTGGCTGATTTCAGGATGGAGGGGCGACGAGCGGATGTGGATAGGGAGGCGGTGGAGGAGTGAGAGGAAGTGAGAGGAGGGGAGCTGGGCCGTGGAGAAACCCCGCTAGTGCTGGCTGATTTCAAAAAGGAGGGGCGAGGAGAGTGGGAGCCGAGCCTTGGAGAAGAAGCGGTGGAGGTACCAGCAGGTGATTTCAGACTGGAACGGTGAAGAGAAGGGGAGCCGAATTCGGGAAAAGAAGAAGTGGAGGTGCCAGCAGGTGATTTTAAGATGGATTGGCGAGCAGCGGGGGGGACTAGTTTTGGAGAAGCGGCCGTGGAAGTACAGCCAGCTAGTTTCAAGCTAGAGCGGCGAGCAGCGGGGGATGGGGATGCGGTGGGGTGAGAGGGAGTGAGAGGAGGGGAGCCGGTTCTTGGAGAAGCAGCGGAGGTAGCAGCTGATTTCAGGCTGGAGCGGCGAGCAGACGGGGTCAAGGAGTCTGAGGGAGTGAGAGAAGAGGGTTGGCAAGAGGGAGTGAGAGGAGGGGGTTGAGATGAGGGAGTGAGAGGAGGGGGTTGAGATGAGGGAGTGAGAGGAGGGGATCCAGATGAGGAAGAGAGAGGAAGGGATAGAGGAGGGAGGTGTGACTTGAAGGTCAACCCAGAAGGAGGGTGACCAGGATTGGGAAGAGAGGAATGGGCTGGGGGAGTAAAAGGCCGTGCTACATTTCTTGCTACAGTTCCTGCTACAGTTTCCGCCACAGCATGTCGCTTCGCAGCAACAGCAGCAGCTGTAGCCGCAACTCCTGTCACAACTTGCGACTTTACAGCTTCCGCTGCTGCTGCTGCCGCTGATGCTGCCGCTGCTGCTGCAACCTTAGCAGCAGAAATCGCAAGCCAACCGGCAGTCTCAGAGCTGTGATGCCCATCTTTAAATTCGTGACTGCGCTGCCCGTCTTTGTGCTTTATCATAGAAGCAAAGTCGTGGCTGTGACGCCAGTCTTTGTTATTTATCACGGAAGCAGAGTCGTGACTGTGAAGCCAATCCTTCAAGTAGTGACTGCGCTGCCCGTCTCCGTGCTTTATCATAGAAGAAAATTCGTGGCTGTGCAGCCAGTCTTTGAAGTCGTGGCTGTGAATCCAATCTTTGTTCTTCATCATTGAAGCCAAGTCATGCCTGTGTTTGCTCGCCTCTCTCCTTTCAGCACCGCCTCCCCCTCCTTCTCCTTTTTCCCCTCCTCCTCCTTCCCCTCCTTCTCCTTTTTCCCCTCCTCCTCCTTCCCCTCCTCCTTCTCCTCCACTGCTTACTCCTCCATTCCCTCCGAGCCCAAGAGGAGAGACCAACCCCGGAAGCCCATGGCTCTCGGGTGGGGCAATCAGCCTCCACACGCCCGTGACCCTGAGATCCGTATCTGATATGCTTTGGGGGATTCGATACACCGCCCGGCTGGAGCACGCAGCCTTGGACGATAACGAATCTGTTTCAGACGAGGCTGAATATGAGGAATCCGGCAGAGCATAGGCAGAACAGCATGCAGGTACAGGGGGGCTGCGGACAAGCCTATTCTGCCGCTCCTGCTGCTGCGGCTGTTTCTCGGGTAGGTACGAGCTGCCATGGTGTTTCTTGGGTAGGTGCGAGCTGCCCAGGCTCTTGAGAAAGGGGCGGCGCAGAGTGGGGCAGAGGATTCGCCACGTGCTGTGCGCATACAGCACTGTTTGCTCCGCTTCCTTCGCTTGCACCGCTGCTTTCTCCGCCTCCTCTGCTTCCCTGGCTTGCCTGGCTGCTTGTTCCGCTTGATCCTCCGCCGCTTCGTCTGCTTTTCTTCCAGACTTCCCCCATTCCTCCTCGGGTTCGGGTTCCTCCTCTCCTAACGTCACGCGTCCGATCAACGAATCTCGACCGCCAATTCGTGAGGTTCGGATCAGGGCTCTTCCTCCTCCGCTTCCTCCGCTTCCTCCGCTTCCTCCGCTTCCGCCGCCCCACGCTCCCCTCTCCAGGCTCTTCGTTCGCAAGCCTTGGAGTCGGGGGGGTCTTTCCCGCGCCTCTTCTTCTGCTGCTTGTGGAAGAGAAAGAGAGGGGGAGGCGCCGAAGCAGGGATTGGGGGAGCGACCTGGGGGGAGGGGGATTGCGGGGAGGGGAGTGGAAGGGGGAAGGGCGAGGAGAGGGGGGAGAGAGGAGCGGGAGATTGGCTGGGAGGAGCTGGGAGCGACTTTGGAGCAAGACAACGAAGCAACGGACGGAATGAAGGAGCGAAGAAATATTTAAAGGGCTGGGGAGGTGAGAGAGAGGGAGGTGAGAGAGAGGGAGGTGAGAGAGAGGGAGGTGAGAGAGAGGGAGGTGAGAGAGAGGGAGGTGAGAGAGAGGGAGGTGAGAGAGAGGGAGGTGAGAGAGAGGGAGGTGAGAGAGAGGGAGGTGAGAGAGAGGGAGGTGAGAGAGAGGGAGGTGAGAGAGAGGGAGGTGAGAGAGAGGGAGGTGAGAGAGGGGGAGGTGAGAGAGAGGGAGGTGAGAGAGGGGGAGGTGAGAGAGAGGGAGGTGAGAGAGAGGGAGGTGAGAGAGAGGGAGGTGAGAGAGAGGGAGGTGAGAGAGGGGGAGGGTAGTCTCAGGGGAATAGGAAGGAGAGCAAGGAGACAAGATGGTCGAATAAACCAGATTGGCGCATTACCTGGTGCCACGATTTCGCAAAAGAATTCCGTTTTGTTCGCACACTCGCGAACACGATCCAGTAAATCGCTGAGGGAATGTTTCAGCTGCCCGCTCGTCACCAGCTCGTCGTCCGCTGCGATGGTGACAATCCTCCACGAAATCGGCATGCTGTTACGCTCCGCCCCCAGCAGTCGCAGGGGCATCGCCAGAAGAGGAAAAACGTCGTACACGTCGCCAGGTTCGCGCGCTTGCGACCCAATCTCGAGCGCTTCAAGCGGTACGTTGTCGCACGCCGTTAAGAGCGAATCTGTGCGTTCATGATCAGAATCCCCATCATTCGCATCCCCCCGGGAGAACATCGACATGGATCGCGACGCGAGCACGCACGTCTGCGGCAGGATGCCCAGATTCCACGGCGACGCGATTAGGAGCGCCGACGACGACGACGACTTCGACGACCATTGCGACGGCGACGGCGACGGCGACGATGGCGACGACGTCTCCGAGTCGCAATCGGTCTGCACTTTGATACGACTGCCGTCTAGGCCCAACACAACCTTCCGCTTCTCCCGCAGGAAAAGGGGGTCGTCGCGGCGACGAAGCTTTCGGCTCCCGGGCCCGCAATCGGCGGACGAAGACTTGGCGGAGCGGCAGACGAAGGAGAAGGTGCAGGCGGGGAAGGGGGGACCCGGGTGGCGCGGGGAGGGGGAGGAGAAGTCGTTGGCGGGAGGCGGAGGCGGAATGAGGAGGATGTCGTGCCAGATGGAGGACACGTGGCTGGCGTTGATTAGCGGGAGAATGCTCGTGGACGACGATCCGACGGTCCGCAGCGGCGCCATGATTACGTTGTAGATACCAATGGTACCAATGGTTATGAAGTGAGGCAGCAGAGGCAGCAGAAGCAGCAGAAGCAGCAGGGAGGCAGCAGGGAGGCAGCAGTGGGCAGCAGCCAAGTGAACTATTCGTGTGATGCGAGGATGAAGAGGCGGAAGTAGCAAGGCATTTGGTGCAGGTGTGCGAAATTACGATGAATAACGAGGCCTCGAGCTCCGCCTCTCATTCTCAGAGGCCTCTGAGAACGAGATATAATAACAGTGTCGGATTGGTTGACCGGATTGATCCCGCCGAGTCGGCGGCGAAACGCCGCGAGCATTAATGGCCCCCCGTCCAAGATTTGCATGCAGTCGGAGAACCGACGACGTCGGCTGTCCAATCCGACGTCGAATCTTATCGTTATCTCTCTCCCGACCGCCGTTGGTCCCGCAAAGTAACGCACGCTCGTGGAGGCCCGAGGAGGAGCCATGTGGAAAATCAGCTAACGGAACCTCTCCGTTACAGTCGGCTTCCTGACTGGTAGCGACTGTAATTACAGGCAGCCAATGCCTGTAAGTACGGAAGCTACAGTTTAGGTGAGTTTGTCGAGGTCTGGTCCTAAAGATTATGCATCACACACTCGTGCGGATGATGCGAGTGAATGCGAGTTTTCTCTGTGGATGATGTATCACACACTCGCTGCGGCAGATCTAGCAGCCAAAAATAGTCATGGCTGCCAAGGGTGTCGCGTTCGAGTCAAGCCGACTGAGACCTGGTTGATGGATGCGTGTGCTCAACAGCATTTGCGAGGAGAGTTTTGATACGGTTTCGATCTAGTAAATACGGTTGAGTACGATTTGTGCAATGTGAAGCGTTTACTCGCTTCATAGTGTGAAGCGCTTCTCTAGCCTGAACATTCGTACGGTTAGAAATTTGAGCGAACTTTCGGGTCGGAACCAGCTGAGCGAGCGTGTGGAGGTTTGGGTGCAAGAGGGGGGAGGTTGATTTGGGGCAGCCTTTAGGTTTTCATTTCACACACGGGTGACCGACGGGACGGGAGGGAGGGAAGCAGTGTGCACAGTTTGCGTTTCCAATCGCAACGACAAACCGAGCAGCGAAGCGGTTACCGAACCAGCTGCTGGCCCTAGATTAAACCACACCTGCGCCTCGTGGTTGATGCAACAAGCTCGGAAGCTAATGTATGGCTGGAATCACACGGATTTCCGAACCTGAATCATCCAAAGTGGTTCCAGACCAAGCAGGCTCTCCATTCATTGGAGGGATAAAGATTGTTTTGTTTGCAGCAGCACCACAAAGCCCACATCTTAGCTCTTGGGAGGGCCGCGCGATTGGTGCCTCCTTGGATAGGGTTTCGGCTCCATCCATGCCAAGCACTACACAAATATCTGGGTTGCTCGAAAGTGTGGTCACAAATATGGGCTCACGGATGGTTGATCGTGAGCGGTCACAGAATGGAGTGGGCGTGTGATTTGGTCACCAATTCCCCCAAGGATTTGAAGGTGCCAATTTCACATGTACAGTATAGGCAAGCTAAGATAATGAAACTGCACACCACACCACACCACATAGTATATTTAGAAAACGTTGACTTTGCAGAATCGAATCAACTGGCACACACGTACGGTAATTAATTGAGAAAACGTTGACTTTGCAGAATCCTAAGCATGAGTGGGCTTAGGAGCCATGGGCTTAGTAGCTTAGTGTCGAGAGAATTGGGTAAGGAGAGTGAATGACTTCACTATAGGTTTGCAAGAACATATAGCAAATGAACAAAGAAGGTGCACCACCTAACAAAGTTTATAATAACTACACTAACTACAGCTACAGGCAGTTACAAATATATTCTAACAAAATCAACTGCCACACACGAGCCTACCTACCCATGTTTCTCAGCTTCAGCATAAAGAAGTGAAATGCCGTATTTGTTTCTGGGGATATTGTTACGAATAGCAATGAATGAAGATTACAATGCACTCCCGACCGCAGTTAAAGAAGCATGCAATATCGAGAACGAATGTGAAGAGTCAGACTTGACTCGAAACGCCAGACGGTTGAGATGCATCTAGACCGTCGGAGCAGACGGCATCGGGCAGCTGCAGGCAGGAGGATTTTGGCGGGAACAGTTTTCGTAACTGTACGCGCCGCACGGTTGGGAATGAATTCGAATAAGGGAATGTACCCCTTAGGGTACATTCCGCTGTGGACACTTTCTCAAAGAAAGTGTCCGAACCACATTTGGCCCAAGTCGCCCTCAAATTTATCGGGGCTGCATGTCCCGATCGATCGATGTATTGCGACTCTGCACAGACGCGCGACAATTATATGCGAACTACTCTGATTGGTCAGGCCATATGGTGGCCCACTCATCTTGCGAGTCACACGCACCAACACCACCAGGCCCGCAATAGAACCTCGGTGGTGTCCGGGGAGGCTGCGGAGGGTTATGTAATTTTCTGCGCAACCAATAATTGCCACAACGAGCAGTACAATATCCAGCACGACATCACCAAGAATGGCTAGATAAAGTAAACAAAGCACAACCGCCACAACTACACACGCATGACATACGCAAAATGGCGGAGCCTAGAGCCATCCCCTTCATCCTACGCCTACTCGTCGCATGGGTCACATACTACTACACCATTTTGTACGAAAGTGTTGCCAAGTCATTCGTCGGCATGATTGAGGCCGGTGTGCTCGAAGACGCCGACGAGCAGTACTCTTCTCTAGGGGACGATACCGGGGAGAACCGCCGTCACCGAGCCAGAGTACGGCGGCAACGTCATGCGCTGTGGGTTGACGACCTGCAACATAAGCGGGAGAACGACTTCCAGGACATATTCAGAATCAACCGCGCCATCCTTGAGCATATCAAGACAGGGATGCGCCAATATCTAGAGCCGATCGTTTATCAGTCAGTGATCACAATGGACACTGCGTTGCTCATCCCAATCAAGTATCTGGCGAATGGGATCTCCTTCGTCGACATGTCGTACCTCTTCGGCGTCTCCAAAACATTGTGCCACGAGCTTGTCGACTTGTTCCTCACCGAGTTCCCCGCGTTGTTCAAGGCCGCCTGGGTGCGCTTCCCCACACGTGAAGAACTGCCGGAGATGGCGAGAGAATTTGCCGCAGTCAAAGGTGTACCTGCAGTGGTGGGGGTTGTAGACGAGACACACATCCATATGAAAGGGATGGAAGGGCACCGGTCCGAAAACTGGACAAGAAAGTCGGCCTACGTACAGCTCCAACTCACGTGTGATGCTCGAGGGAGAATATGGGATTACCTCATCGGTTATCCCGGCAGTGCGCACGACATGCGTGTTTTCAAAGACTTTGCATTGTCAAATGATATATATGTTTAGGTTATAGTGGGGTAGCCAATATGGGGTACAGCCCCTTTTAGGGTTTCATATTTGTACCAATCTCATTCATAGTTCAATTCATTCCTGCCTACTATCTTAACATGGTTTCAGAGCAGGAGTTCCCTAGGACCTAACTCAGTGGGCCCACCGTTTTTTTTTTTTTTTCCGCCGCGTCGCGCCCTACTGTCGCCCCTAGCGGGCCCTACTGGCGCGTCGCGCCCTACTGCTGCGCCGCGCCCTGCTGCCGCGTCGCGCCCCGCAACCGCGTCGCGCGCGCTGCTGCTGCGTCGCCCGTCCGCCGCGACGCGCGCGCTGCAGCTGCGTCGCCCGCCCGCCGCGTCGCGCGCCCTTCCGCCGCGTCGCCCGCGCCCTGCTGCGCTGCCCGCGCCTTGCTGCGCCGGCCGCGCCCTTCTGCGCCGGCCGCGCCCTGCTGCGCCGCCCGCGCCCTGCTGCGCCTGCCGCGCCCTGCTGCGCCGCCCGCGCCCTGCTGAGCCCGCCGCGCCCTGCTGCGCCGCCCGCGCCCTGCTGCGCCGCCCGCTCTCTGCTGCGCTGCCCGCGCCCTGCTTAGCCGCCCGCGCCCTGCTGCGCTGCTCGCGCCCTGTTGCGCCGCCCAGCCACCCGCGCCCTGCTGAGCCGCTCGCGCCCTGCTGCGCCGCCCGCGCCCTACTGCGCCGCCCGCGCCCTACTGCGCCGCCCGCGCCCTTCTGCGCCGCCCGCGCCCTGCTGGGCCGTCGCACGCCCTTCTGACACCTCGCCTGCCCTGCGTCGCGCGTCCTGCTGCTCGTCACCGCCTAGCACCATGGCCACTCTTCGTGTTCTGTCCTTCGACACTGAGGGCCGTCCTGTAGAGTTCGACGCCTGGCTCGATGACTTGCAGCTCTACCTCATTAGCACCAGCAAAGACGAGATCTCCCTCTTTGATCACACCTCCGGTGCTCTAGCTGCTCCTGCTGACACAGCTGCCCTTAGCGGGCGCTCTCAGTGGCTGACACGCGATGCTGCTG